ACATAAAACAAAGAAGGGAAGGGAGTTTGAGATAATTAATTATTTCCTGCCTGGTAAAATAATGCTCCATGATGAAACTGAAAAAATAAATAAATAAATAAACAAATAAGTAAAAATAAAAACTTTCCAAACAAATATAAAGCAGATATAAATCTTTTACTTAAACTATTATCAGAARTTATTTAGCTACAGTGTGATTTGAGTTATTTTACTGAAGTGGGATTCTGTGGCGTAGCTATCTGTGGTTCTGCAATAAACATAAACAAACTTTTATGGTTATTTCCTTCTGCAATCGTAAAGTGTTGTCATTTTTAAAAGTTAAGAAATAAAAGGTTGAAATTCACTTGGGAATTTGCCTCACTCTGACTAGCCATTTGTCTCCTCACTGAAACATCCTTACCAATTTTCCAAATTAAGAATATTCTTACTACCATTTACTGCAAGTAAGATACTGACTACTCATTCCTTTTCCACAGAAACCATGTAAAAAAACAATATATATTAAAACATTACATGCAAATTTTGGAATCACAGAGTGCAATTTTGTTATAATTTAATGAAGCTAAATGATAATAAGTCCGGCAGAAACTAGTATTTTAAAGTTAAATATTATAAATTGTTTAAAAAATGTGTGAAGTCATAGAACTCTTTAACAAAACTCTTAAACCATTCCAAACATGAGTCTGGTAATGTAAACATATAAGGGGAAATTATATGAACTTTAATTGTGAACATGGTAAACATGAAAGCACCATAATTCTGTCATTTTAAAACAGAGCCAGACGAACTGATTTTTTTATTTTATTCTGGCCTGACTGGCTGCCAGCTACCAGCTACTGTATGTCCTAAAACGTCTTTAACTTTGAATMTGAAGTTTAAGTCGCATGCAAAAATTAGCCACTATACCAGTTAAGCAGTATTTAAGTGTAAAATCACTAGTTGTAGCATTTAACATTATTCATGAGATAACATGTTAAAATCTGGGTAACAAAATAAAAACACTGTTGTCCCCAACTGTTGTCAGAAAAGATTGCACCAGCATCAGTTTAGATTATTTATCTGTAAAGGTACAGCCTCCTGTCATAATAATTTTTGAAATGCAGTATCACACAAGTCACAACATGCCCCCCCCCCCAAAAAAAAAAAAAACAACCCACAAACTGTTCTTGCAAAGCTTTTTATTTATTGACTTTTACAGTGAACAGCAAATTGTCACACTTCAGGCCCTGTATTTATCAAATACTCTTCAGAATACTAAGAGCTGATTTACTAGAATAGAACATTTGTTTCCTTTATTTCTTTTGTATTATATGATTAAACCTATTTTCCACACCTTATTTTAGTTATCCCGCGCATTAACTGAGAATCACACTCAGGTGAAAGACCCCTGTGCAGTTTTTGTGGTGGTGCTATATCGTGGAGGACAGTGTTGTGATCTCTGTCTTCTCAGTCCATCTCAGATCCCTAATGGTAACTCAAACAGCTGAGAGACCTTTGGAGCGGATCCAGGAGAGTAAGAGTGATTCTTAACCTTAAGAATTTTGATAACATACACTCAAGTCTGAAAGAAGGAGATAATTTAAGAAACTAGAAATTAAGAATTCAAGAAATTTGAAATTCCACTTTAAGATATTTGATAAATACAGGCCAAGGGCTCCTTTGTGACTTTATTTGTGTTTGTTTTAATGATTATGTTGTGTGATAACAGTCATATACTGCACAAAAAGGACGTAAGTTTGTGTTTTGTTTAATGTTTCTTTGGTGTAACAATGCTTCTTAAGAATAAAGCTTATACTGTTGGAAGGAATTATTATTTCCCCTTAAACAGCACCACATTTGTTGGGACAATGCATTTTTGGGACGAGCAGCACAGTTGAGCATGTGGGTTTTGCCAATAAAACCTCCTAAATCTTCTCTGACAAACAACTTATTCTGATACTGAAAGTTTTTGAGCTTCTAGTACCCTGGGGCTGACRAGCAGTGTGTGACCAAGCTAGTGAGCAGCATGAGGAGGAGGTGCCAAGTTGTTGTGGCTGTGTATGGTTCTTCCACATGCTAGGTCCCTGTTTGTTAGATTAATAAATTGTGAAATTCCTAATATGTCTTGTTTCTTCAGACTTCATTCATCCAATCCAATAACATTCAAAAGAGTTAATATTAGAATAACCTGCTGTTCAAACAAAAAAAGATGTTCCTAAGAAAATCTGGCACCATTTAAGACGAAATAGACCAATTGATATGAATTGATATAAGATTTATTTGCTAAGAAGCATTGTTAAAGCTAAAAAACAATCAACCAGTCACAAAATTCATTTATTTATTTATTTTTGCTAAGTTTATATGATGCAAAACCTCAGCTTGTTGCAAAATAAACCTCGAACAGGACGTATTTAAATTAACCTGCTTGTGCAGAAAACCTAGTTGAAAATGAAAGCTGTAATATTGCACTTATAGGTTGCAAAGTATAGAATAATTCTGCAAAAAGAGGGTTCAAGTCAAGTTTGGTTTAGAGAAATGGTGGGTGGTAAAATGTACATCCAAGGAAAAGCCCTGGTAGTAAAGTTAATTGTGAAAAGACTGATAGTACACCAGGACTGAACTGTACAGATCTAAGAAATACTGAATGTTTCATGTATTACATCTGTTCTCTGTTTAATGTGAATTTGCTGACATTCCTACAGCAGATAAGCAGTAAGTAAAGTTGTTCACATGACTTTTTGTCTGTTTTTATTCACATTACACAAACAAAAATGTGCACACAAAATAATATAAATRGAACATCGGTGAATACACTGTAAAATATTTCTATATGCTTGTTCCTGTTCAGGGTTACAGTGAGAACCTACTGTATATCTCCAAAGGTAGCTGGTGAGGCGAGGTTCATTCTGGACAGGTCGTCAGTCCATATGAAGGCTAGTTTATTGATTTGTTATTTAATAAGCACAAAATGTGTTTAAGTAGAGGTCAGCTTGTAGTATTTTTATATAACTACATTTCACTGTTCAGACAGCCACGTGTCTCTTCTAGTAATCATGTAGCAACAAAGCTGATTTAACCTGGGCTAAATCTCATTACATAGATTTATCCAAATACAAAGGAAGTTAAATGTATTTTCTGCAAAATGGAATACCTTTATGCAGGGATGTACAATTAGTTGTCATCAGTTCAATATATGATTGACATGAAACTATATTTTCAAACTAAATACATTTGCTTTTGCAACTTATACTTTTTTGTTTGAAGCATCTGCTTAAAATCTGCCTACATAAGATCAGGTAGATTTACCCCTTTGCTCTCCCCTTGTATCACATACAGGCTTGGGGCTAAGTGGGGCAAAAGGGTAAAATGGAATTTACACTTATTCAGCGTTAATGTAATAAAATGTGGCACGAGGAACCAGGTAGAGGGCTCTTAACTAATTAAAAAAATAAATAAATAAATGAAATTTACCATCAAAATGTATGACTGTGCAGAATAACTGAACACAATGACAAAATATTAAATAAGAATAAAGAAAAAGTAGAAAAAAGTACATAAAACCAAGGATTTTAGGAAGATGTTTATCACTGTTAACAGATCAAAAAAGGTTTAAAATGTGTTCCCCATTACACTCCACCTCCAGACCACACGTGTTTGACTTTACGGCTCAAAAATCATTACCCTTTATCAGTTCCAACATACATTTATAACAGCAGAACGGTTTCATTTGGAGGTTTGCCCTCAGAAGTGTGGAKGCCACGAGTCTATAAAGTTTTTCTGACATGAAGCTGAAGCCAAAACAAAACTTGAAGGTTCAGCACAGTGGGGTGTTGGGGGTGTGAATGGGAGGCAAAAGGGGTAAAAWGGGATGATCCAGTTCTTTTTTTAGCTTCATTAAACTGACAAACTACAGCATTACGTGTTGTCATCAGTAACACAGTACTATCATAATAGCCTGTCAGCACAGCCCAGTGAGTGATATGGGAAATTAATGGTGCATGAAACGGCACATGCTGGTTTCKTATTTTTCTGTCACGAGGCTTTTCTCATGGGAGGGTGTCAAAACACTGATGGATTAGCAAAGCATAGAACTATGTTGTAATTGCTTTTTAGTTAGTATTTTAACATATGATTTCTACATATGATGCAGAAAAACTCCCAAGTTTTTATAAAATACCATTTTAAAATTACTGTTATAAGTAAATGTTATTTTTGATGTACAAGATCTGTGTCCATTATGACCATATAGTGCAATGTGTGTCATACTGATCAAACTTTAAACGTGTAATAAATACGCAATAAAAATAAGATGAATATTGGTAGACTACCTGTTTTGCCAGATAACATATTTTCATTTGTTCTGCCATTACAGGTGCAAACATAAATCTCATGAATGTGGTTAATGACAACATAGCATACCTGTAAATATAAGTTATTACGTAGGTTTTCTATATTTTTTTGCAATCTAACAACCTAGGTTCATCTTTTTATTAAAATTCAATAAGTTTATTCAAACACAGCATTTAAGCTTTATTATTGCAGAAAATCCAGTTTCTCTTGCTGTTTACCACTCCTTTTATTGAAAGAATATTGCACAAAGCACACAAACTGTCCAAACCTTCAGATAAGAGGCCTTTTGCATTAGTTTACAATCCATTTAAATTTGATGTAACAGTCTTTAA